CAAAAATTCTATACTAACAAAGAAAAAGAAATCTGGAACTTGAATGTTGCCACCACACCTCAATGCAGCACCTTGTGCTCCTAAAACCTTCTATGCAGTCAAGAGCCCTATGTGTTCCTGACAGAAACCACACTCAAGCAGCTGAATTTAGAACATGCTGACCTTGAGCAACTCAATGCCCTTAGCATGTACTTCTGGCTTCTTTCACTGCAAGAGCTAGACAGCCTCACCATCTATAGTAGTCAACAATTTCTGGCTGCTGGCCCCTATCTATTTTAAGGTATCCCTACTACATTTCTGTATTGCACAGCTCAAAGAAACAGAGTAACACATGAACTTGTGCAAACTGTTTACCTTGGAAATGGGGAGTGTTCCTACTGTGCTTAGCTTAAAAATATTTAATTTGGTAAACTTCCACTTCCTATTTTCATTTCTAAAATAGAATATGTTTTTAACAAAGAGTGAAAAATCAAGTATAAGACACTTTTGCTTATTGCCTAATCAGATTTATAGGTAGCCTAGTCATAAAGTAAGCAGAACTGGCCTGGTTCCAAACACAAAATGCAAACAAATATTGAAAAGAGAGCAATGGTTAGCTGCCATTTTTGAGTAAAATTACACTAGATATTAAAACAATACCTGATTAAGGACTACACTACATTTTCGCCAATCTGCCTTAGTATTTATTAACTCTTTTACCTCTTGGATCTAACTGACATCAAGTCTATTTTTAGTTTTCTTATTCAGGCAACATCAACTAAAATATTTAGTCTGTTTACAAATAACAACTTTTTTTTTAAACTCTAAACACAGAACCTATAATTTACATAGCAATTGTAGTATAGCTTCTGAAAGTCAGGTAAATTATTTGCTTGAAATTTATATATAAGCACAAATTTTAATCTAGTAATCATATTTAGCAATTACTAATCATATTTAGCAAATATTTTCATTCTCAAGACAGGTTAATATTTATGCAAGGGTCTAATGCTAGAAATCCAGTATTATAAAATATTTAGCATTTCAGATTGCTTTCTAAAGGATCTCTTTTACTTTCTTGAAACACTTAAACCAAGAGAAAGTCCAAGTATAAAAAAAATAGTAATAATGAGGTGCTTTTTTTAATTCACTCTCATCCAAAACATTTCAAATATAGAAAAGGAGGCTCCACATCACGTGGCACTGAATCTGATATGCAGAATAATGAGGGTCCAAATAAAGTGAAGTCCTTCACTAACAAGTGGATAAATACAGGCCTAACGGCTGAACGGGGGAGTGTATGTAATATGCTGGCTGACTACTGAAAGCTCTTAAGAGGAATCCACAGAATACAAAGAAGAAGAGCACTATCCTCACACTGTTAGGGAGGATTTTAAAACCCAGGTAACCCTTCACAATGCTGAGGGAAAGGGCATCAGCACCCACAGTTCCAAGTCCACATGGAACGCTGAACTCCCACAAACTGAACTAACAGCCTGCTGCTGACCAGGCGTCCTACCAACAACATAAACTGTCAGTTACCAGTACCTTTGATGTTACATGGATTACATCATTGTTTTCTCATAAGAAAGTAAGTTATAACAAAGAAATACTACTAAGAAAATCATGAGGGAGGCCAACAGGTGTCGTGGTGGTTACAGCACTGGACTCCCACATGGCCAATTGCAGTTGGAATCGCAGACCTGGCGGCTTGCTTGCTCACTCTGTCTCTGTCTCTTTGGTCAAATTAAAAAATAATAATAATAAATAAAATTAGGTGCCAACAGATGGCATAATGGTTACATCACTGGACTCCCACATGATCGACCGCAGTTCAAGTCTTGGGCCTAGCAGCTTCAAATTCACGTCAGGCACATGTGCATGGATGCCCAAAATTCTGAGAAGAGACTGAAGGAAAAGGGATTACGACGCAGCCATCCCTCCTGTGGGTGATTTCTCACTTTCTGTCTGTCTGTCTCTGGCAAGCACATGTACCCTATAGCAAAAATCTCTCTAAAATAAAATAATAAAAATTTTAAAGTAATTATTTTTAAAAAAAGAAAATCATGAAGGTCAGAAAATGCACTTTCAGTTTTTAATGAAAAAAACTGCATAAATGAGCCTGCAGAGTTAAAATTCATCTTGTTCAAGGACCAGCAGATGGCATAATGGCTATGTCATTGAACTCCCACTTAGTCAACAGTGGTTTAAGTCCTGAACCCAGTGGTTTAGACTCACGCCGGGTGCATGTGCATGCATACTCAAGATTCTGAGAATGGAGAAGGGATTGCAGCATGGCCATCCCCCAGGAGGTGACTTCTCGCTTTCTGTCTCTTTCTGTCTTTCTAACGAACACACTTACCTATAGCAAAAACCTCTCCCCCCCTAAAAAAATCATTTTGTTCAAGGATCAAATGTTAATGTTGTTATTGCATTAAATTGAAAAAAAAAAAAAACTTATCAGAGGCACAGAGAATGAAGTAAACCTAATTATGTGATATTAGAAAGATCTGTGGGGCCACTTAACAACACAACAGTAATTGCAACAATATTGCAATGCTGGGCCCACAGGGGAAGGTCCTGGACCCCCGTCCTAGGGCCTCCTTCTACACACCCGGCACATGCATGCTTGCGTGTGTGCCTATGATCCAGGCTGGTTTTGACTATGGGTGGATTAGGTCAAGAAAAACCCTGTTGGGGATGCCTGTTTCTGTCTCTCTTCCTGAAGAGAGAAATAAATTTAAGTAATAACAGTAAGATCTACTACCCTGCTCTAACAGCATACTGCCTTTTAAACTAAGCAGAAGAGTTAAGGAACGGCACTCAGCACTCTAAGTCTCAGATGTGCCCTCACGTGCCCACAGTAGGGGCACAGCAGCAACGCAACACACTGGGTGCCAGACAACAGGAAGGCCCCAGACCTGGGTCCAGGACCCCTGCTCACCACAGGCACACCTGTGACCTGGGCTGGCTGAGGCTAGCAGAGTGTGGCGTGCAGACCCAGCTGGGTGTGCCCACTCTCTCACCCTCCCTCTCCTCCTCTCTCATGGAAGAAATAAACTTTTTTAAAAATAATGTTTTAAAAAACATCAAGAATGGGCTAAAGGTAAATCAGGCTATATTCATAATTCCTAAACTTAATTATCACTAAGTGATTTAAATGTGGGATTCTGGGAGCTGGTCCTGCAGCCCAGTGGTTAAGGGAGCTGGGCCCCACATGGCTGAATGCAGTTTGAGTCCCAGTCCCAAGAGAACATGGAAGGCACATGGGCATGCATGTCCAAAATCCACACAGGATAGAAAAATGAAGGAGAAGAGATTGTGGCTGCCCAGGCCCTACTGGGGACTGCTTTCTCCCTCTCCCTTTCTGTCTCTCTCTGGCAAGCATATGTGCCCTCTAGCAATTTAAGGGGAAAAAACAACGTGGGATTCCAACTGCTGATCTAGTGGTGTTAAGACATAAACTTAAAGCTGAGTTTTGCAGTAGCTAATTAATTTCCCCTTTATTCCATCCAGGGTAGTTCAGCATGCAAGCATCTACTTTATGAGAAAGCTAATATCAGAGTAATCAATCAGGAATAGTGCCAAGGCAATGAGGTACTAGAAAACAATTACCCCTTGTTAAGCCAAAATCTATAACAATTTAAAATCTCTAACAATAAACTACAGGTATTCATTCGTTTATCAACTTAGGAATGATAGGGACCAGCAGTTGGCATAATGGCTATGTTGCTGGACTCCCACGTAGTCGACCACGGTTCGAGTCCCGGATCCAGTGGCTTAAACTCACGGCAGGCGCGTGTGCGTGCGTGCCCAAGATCCTGAGAGGAGAATGGAGGAGAAGGGAGTGTGGCGTGGCCATCCCCCCTGGGGGGTGATTTCTTGCTTTCTGTCTGTCTCTGTCTTTCTGGCAAGCACAGGTGCCCTATAGCAAAAACCTCTCAAAAAAAAAAAAAAAAAGACCAATTCTGGTGGATCTTCTATTTGTCCATCAAGTAGGAGTTCACGGGACCATAGATACCCGAGGATCATAAGTTCATTCAGGCTGAAACGGAAATAATTAATTCCCAAATTATAAAACTACTCATTCAAACACTTCTTCACACTGACGCAGACTTTCTGGCATTCTGAATCTCAGTAATCACGAGCTAGCCCCTCAGATGATCTGCACTCCACACTGGCCTTGTCCTCATGGCAGCATCACAGCACATCCTCAATACCTACATGAAAACTGTTTCTTCTTCACATCCCCGGGAACCAACCCCACGCAGCATCACCCACAGCACCCACACAGAAAGAACGTAACACAGCTGGTTACGGAAAGGTGTCCTAGGCACTCAGAGAAGCCATGGAAGGGTATTAAATCAGAATTCATTCATCAGAATCACTTCTGAATCATCATATATAATTTTTCTATACTGCTACATATGACCATGCTTTTAATAAACTATTTCATGGGCCAGCAAGTAGCATGGTGGTTAAGTTGCTGGATTCTCACATGGCTGACCACAGTTCAAGCCCTGGACCTCATGGTTTGCTTTCTTGCTTTCCAGCTCTCTCTGGTCAAATTTTTAAAAAATAGTAAATAATATTTAAATATAAATAAAATTGAAAAGATAGTTCTTTTATATATATATATATATGATAATATGTATATCTATATCTTCCAACTGCTGAAAAGCCCACAGATGTACACGAAAGTTACCATAAAACCAACACTCCTGACATTTTACAGCTTCTGCTGCGTATTGTCAATGACCTATCATTCCTTGTGTCTTCCATTCCCAATAAAAATAACCAGGTGTCTCTGGCACAGAACTCTGCAGTGGAGATCTCTCTTCTGCTTAGGCAGATTTTATGCCTGGAATTTTTAGATCTTTTTAATACATCAAGCCTAAACTCATCTTGTCTTAATTTCCTTATTTAACCAAAACAGTCTCTTTAACCACATATACACACAAAACCACTTCACTTGGTAGAAATGAACGTTCACTAAATAACCGACAGCAGCTGTCACCTACCTGTAGTACCGAGACTGCAGATACGTCGAACAGACGGTCTTCGACACGTGACTGGCCGACCCAAAGTCTATGACTTTGACTCTGTATGGCTGCCGAGCAGGGTCCACCAACATGATATTCTCTGGTTTGAGGTCAGCGTGAATTAAACCGAGACTTTTCAGTTTTTTCAGTGCAGTAGCCACCTGCTGAAGAACAGGCCGAATCACTTTCAGTGGCAGGGGACTGAATTTATTTTGTTTCAGAAAGTCATACAAGTTTTGTTCCAGCATCTCAAAGACTAAACAAGTATGGTTCCGGTGCTGAAAGCATTCGTAAGCCCGTACGAAGTTAAACTCGTCGGCATTTTCTGTACTGAGCCTCGCCAGTATGCTCACCTCGATCTGACCTTGACGTGCATAAGAAGGGTGATTCTTCAGGATTTTGATTGCTACAATTTCATTTGTCCCTCTTTTCCAGCATTTAACTACCTGGCCAAAGGTGCCTCGGCCAAGAAAATCCAGGACCTCATATGTATTTTTCATGGAGCACAAGACTTCATGCTGCACTAGCTGGTAGTCGCCTTCTCCGGAGGTGCAGTTCTGTTTAGACCCTGTGGTCGTTGTCACAACTGTCACTGGGTTTCCCATGCTGGTTTGCAACATCGCAGGAAGTACGGACAGCTCGTCAACAATCTGCATCGCGCTGCCGTGGTTATCCAACTCCTCACTCTTGCGCTTCAGTCCACATCGCGGGGGGCCCTGTAGGAAACAGAGCCTGTTTTGCCACGCCCCAGCCTGAGGCGCTTGCAATGGAGCCTGCTGCACCTGAGCTGCGAGGACCTTGGTAGCACCTGCAGTGTTTTTAAAAACAACAGCACTTGTCTGCAACGAAAAGTTCTGTCCTCGAGGTCTGTTAAATGGTATCTTAGTCTGAAAAGCACTACCCTTTGTGGAAGGATGAGAACTTGCAAAGTTTCCACCATTCACATAGGCCCGGGGACAGTTTCTTTCCTGGAATACACAACCACTTGGCTCTACTTTGAGTTTCTTCACACTACAAAAGGCACTTGACTGAGTTTGATAAACATATGGTGGGTAGACCAAGACTTGTGAGGCCATACCTAAAATAAGAGAGAGACAAAGCAAATATTAACAATTTTTTTGAGATATTTTTGCTATAGCGCACATGCACTCGCCAGAGACAGAGAGACAGAAAGCGAGAAATCACCCCCTGGGGGGATGGCCATGCCGCAGTCCCTTCTCCTCCATTCTCCTCTTTGAATTTGTGGCGTACATGCACACACGCCCGGCATAGTTTTAAGCTGCTGGGTCCAGGACTCAAACTGTGGTAGACTACGTGGAAGTCCAGCAACATAACCATTATGCCACAAGCTGGTCCTGATAGATACCTCTAGTATCTCCATTTTCATTAGCCATTACTTCAGTTATTTTGACTACTGCCTACAAAGCTGGGAAGAGTCAGCGCATTCATTTACACAGTAAATTTTCTTTTTTTGAGAGGTTTTCGATATAGGGCGCGTGCGCTCGCCAGACAGGCAGAGAGAGACAGAGAGATGGAAAGCGAGAAATCACCCCCCAGGGGGGGTGGTCACACCGCAATCCCTTCTCCTCCATTCTCCTCTTGGGATCTTGGGCACGCACGCACATGCGCCCGGCGTGAGTTTTAAGCCACGGGGTCCGGGACGCGAACCGCGGTCGACTACGTGGGAGTCCAGCGACATAGCCATTATGCTAACTGCTGGTCCCCCCACAGTAAATATTTTTAAAGAATTATTTTATTTAACTTTACTTTTATTATTCTATTTATTTATTTTGATTTGACCAAAGAGGGACAAAGTGTGAAAGAGAGAGAGAAACAAAGTAAGAAACCAAACCGTCCGGTCCGGGACTCAAATCACGGTTGGCCATGTGGGAGTCCAGTGCCCTTAACCACCATGCCACCTGCCAGCCCCTACAAGCAAGTATTTACTAAACAGTGGCCAAGACACACCCCAGAGACTCTGCTAATGGTTTTCCCCCAAATGGAAAAAACAGAGATTCTTAAACTGTACATACTTGGCAAAAGTAAAACAGTCTATCAACAAATTCAAATTTATGAACCAACGACGAGGTAAGAAAATATATTTTACATTAACACAGTCTGCTGTCATACTCCTTAAACCTAATACTCAGAGCTGCCTCGGGTCCCCTCATGGTGCAGAGGTCACGCAACGCGCAAGTGAGGCTGGGCCCCCAGAGACCAGAGAGTCCACCTGAGCATGCTGAGCTCCTGCCCCTGAGCTCAGACAGGCTGGGGTGGGGGCGATATCTCGGCATGATGAACCTACCCTGTCTCTCTCCACCTTGGTCTCTCAGTCTCACGAAAGAAATCATAAAATAATAATAATAATAATAAACAAGGAAACGTCTCAAGAAGAAATAAAAAAGTCTATGTTCGTTTTTAAAAATGCACGAGGGCCAGCCTCTGCGGCACCATCAGGAGCAGACCGGATTGCAGCAGAAGCCCTAAAATGCCAGGGTCCAACTGAGCAGGAGAGCCAGAGAGGTTCCCAGGCATTACAGCAACCTGCCAGGGGAACTGCCCTCGCCCTCGCACGCACACACGAGCCCTGTCAGCAAGCGGGGTGCAGCAGTCAAATGCCCGCTCTGCGAGAATCACCACACACAGGTCCCAGGCCCCCACATACAGTACACGCGTGCCCTGACACGAGGCCTGCGAGACTCACCACGAACAGGCCCCAGGCCCCTACCTGCAGGCCTCCTTGAGAGGACCAGTACTGCGTGCCCTGGGTGGACACGGGGCCAGCTGAGGCTAGGACGGAGAGTGGCACCAGAACCCTGTCATGGAGGCCGTGTCCCCAGCCTCAACCAGAAGAAAAAACAAACTTTAAAAAAAAAAAAAATCCTTAAACAGGCTGCTTAAGCAGTGTCCCACACCACAGTTCAAATCTCAGCCCCAGCTGTCTTGAAAACATGCCTAAACCAGCAAATGGTGTAGTAGTTAAGTCACTGGACTCCCGTTACTCGACAATGGTTTGAGTCCCAGACCCAGCAGCTTAAAACTCACACAAGGACCATGTGCATGAATGCCCAAAATCCTGAGAGAAGAATAGACGAGAAGGGACTGCGGTGTGGCCATCCACCTAGGGGGCAATTTCTCACTGTCTGTCTGTCTCTGTCTCTCTGGTGAGCACACAAACCCTACAGCAAAAAGAAAAATACATGCCAAGCATGTGGACGTCTGTGCCCAACATCCTGACAACAGGGTGTAGAGATGGGGGAGCATACCCCATCAGGGTGGTCTCTCATTCTCTCTCCCTCTGGTAAGTGAATGCACTCTCTCACAATTAAAAAAAAAAAAAGTATTCAAAAATAAAACGGGGCCAGCAGGTGGCATGGTGATTAAGGAACTAGGGTAGTTAAGGCACTGGATCCCACACAGCCAACTCCACATTTCAAGTCCCAGAGCGGCAGCTTGAAAAACATGCTGGTTGCATGTGCATGCGGCCCCAAATTCCCAAGGGGAGAATGGAGGAGGAGGAGTTGCAGCTGGCTACCTTCCCAGGAGGTGATTTCTCACTGTCCATCCCTCTCTCAGTCTCTCTCTGGCAAGTGCACACACCCTGTGGCAAAACACTTTAAAAAGAAAGAAAAGAGAAAAGAAAAGAAAAGAAAAGAAAAGAAAAGAAAAGAAAAGAAAAGAAAAGAAAAGAAAAGAAAAGAAAAGAAAAGAAAAGAAAAGAAAAGAAAAGAAAAGAAAAGAAAAGAAAAGAAAAGAAAAGAAAAGAAAAGAAAAGAAAAGAAAAGAAAAGAAAAGAAAAGAAAAGAAAAGAAAAGAAAAGAAAAGAAAAGAAAAGAAAAGAAAAGAAAAGAAAAGAAAAATACACACACATACATACACACACACACACACACACACACACACACACACACACACAGGGTTTTAGGTTTGTTTTTTGGTTTTTGGTTTTTTTCTAGAGGTTTTTGCTACAGGGTGCATGCACTCGCCTGAAAGACAGAGAGAGACAGAGAGACAGAAAGTGAGAAATCATCCCCCAGGGGGGACGGCCACGCTACAATCTCTTCTCCTCCATTCTCTTCTCGGGATCTTGGGCATGTATGCACACGCATTGAGGGTGAGTTTAAGCCACTGGGTCCAGGACTCACACTGCAGTCACCATGTGCATGAATGCCCAAAATCCTGAGAGAAGAATAGACGAGAAGGGACTGCGGTGTGGCCATCCACCTAGGGGGCAATTTCTCACTGTCTGTCTGTCTCTGTCTCTCTGGTGAGCACACAAACCCTACAGCAAAAAGAAAAATACATGCCAAGCATGTGGACGTCTGTGCCCAACATCCTGACAACAGGGTGTAGAGATGGGGGAGCATACCCCATCAGGGTGGTCTCTCATTCTCTCTCCCTCTGGTAAGTGAATGCACTCTCTCACAATTAAAAAAAAAAAAAGTATTCAAAAATAAAACGGGGCCAGCAGGTGGCATGGTGATTAAGGAACTAGGGTAGTTAAGGCACTGGATCCCACACAGCCAACTCCACATTTCAAGTCCCAGAGCGGCAGCTTGAAAAACATGCTGGTTGCATGTGCATGCGGCCCCAAATTCCCAAGGGGAGAATGGAGGAGGAGGAGTTGCAGCTGGCTACCTTCCCAGGAGGTGATTTCTCACTGTCCATCCCTCTCTCAGTCTCTCTCTGGCAAGTGCACACACCCTGTGGCAAAACACTTTAAAAAGAAAGAAAAGAGAAAAGAAAAGAAAAGAAAAGAAAAGAAAAGAAAAGAAAAGAAAAGAAAAGAAAAGAAAAGAAAAGAAAAGAAAAGAAAAATACACACACATACATACACACACACACACACACACACACACACACACACACAGGGTTTTAGGTTTGTTTTTTGGTTTTTGGTTTTTTTCTAGAGGTTTTTGCTACAGGGTGCATGCACTCGCCTGAAAGACAGAGAGAGACAGAGAGACAGAAAGTGAGAAATCATCCCCCAGGGGGGATGGCCACGCTACAATCTCTTCTCCTCCATTCTCTTCTCGGGATCTTGGGCATGTATGCACACGCATTGAGGGTGAGTTTAAGCCACTGGGTCCAGGACTCACACTGCAGTCGACTACATGGGAGTCCAGCGACTTAGCCATTATGCCAACTGCTGGTCCCAAAAGACAGGGATTTTTAATAAAACGAGGTGCCCTTTTCATGAATACCTGCTGACTCTATATTCTACTTGCCAATGTATTATCCTTTAATCTTAAAAGGTGTTATCCTACAAAGATAAATTAGTAACTTTCTACCAATTCCATTCACGCTACCTCTCTTCTCAATTTGTATTTTATGACATGGAGATTCCTTTAAGCTTCTTCCAAATAATAATCCTTAGTTAACTTATAGTTGATAAACAGATTTTTTTTTTTTTAGTTTTCTATAGAGCACAGGCACTTGCTAGAGAAGGGGGAGGAGAGCACCCCAAAGGTGGAATGGCCACACACAATCCCTTTTCCTCCACTGTCCTCTAGGAATCTGGGGCACACACATATACATGCCTAGTGTGATTTTCAAGCCAGAGGGTTCAGGGCTTGAACCACACTGTCAACCATGTAGTATCCAGATGATTTAACCTCTAATCCACTTGCAAGCCAAAAAAAAAAAAAAAACCAAATTTTTTAAAAATCATAAGGTTCCCAAAGATTAAATGAGTGTATCACTGCATCAAAAAAGGAGTTGGGTTACTGAAGGCAAAATACCAAACATTCTAATTATATAAACATAAGTACATAATGGTTCTGTCAGTAATATTTTACTCTGACTTAACACAGACAGGAAAGGGGAGCCAACATTCCATACTGGCATACATGGTTTTCCTCCCTGTGGCTTTAGATTATCAACGGATACAAGACTACAAACAGATAAAAGAAATAATTCCGCTGTTTTGTGGCACAGTGGGTAACTGTAGGTAACAGTATCTCACTGTGTATTTCAAGAGAACAGAGGATTCTGAACGTGCCCAGTACAAAGCCATGATCAAGGTCTGAGGCGACAGCAAGGCTAACTCCCCTGACGTGGTCATCGCACACTGCAGTC